GCGGTTGTGCTAATTGCAACTAAATTGCATTTTGTAAACATCGTTAGCGATTAGAGCAGTGGTAGACACAAAAAAAAATAAAAAAAAATACATTTTTGAATAAAATCCAAATCCTAAAGTTAACTATGTAGGAATTAAAACAATCTACCGACATAAAAGTTGTTAAATCTAAATTGATATTAAGTCTATCATATACTTATATGAAAAAGTTCATGCAACTTGCCTAAAGGCAAAATCCAAATCAAACATCTTGTCAAATAATTTATCAAAAATTCTAATTAGTTTTTTTTTTATAATTTTGACCACCGATGTTAAAATCCTTTACCGTGGGAGAATTAGACCGCGCTCCAATTTGTCTCAGGTCAACATTGACTTTGTTGACTCTATTTTTTTCTTGTTTTTTTTAAATGTCAATATGCACAACAATGTAACATATTAATGACGAGTCTCTACATTCAACTTTTTGGAAATTTCTTGAGAAATTCACAAAAGTATTGGTAAAAAGTAGTAGGCAGTGGCTCTTTTGCAAACAGAAAACTGGATTCGATGTTTGTGATTTTTGGGTGTTGTCCGAAGTTTTTAGCGATTTGTGATTTAGTCCAGATTTAATATAATAGATAGATATATATTTATGTGTGTTTGCAGATACTTTTTCCAGTTTCTTTAGAATTTTTGGAAGTCACTTTGCTCTAAATAGACTTTTAATTTAGAGTATCAGAAATTCCTGCACAACATTTGCCATATAGTATTTTAGCACTTATTTTCAAAATCTTTTTCGCCAGTGTTTAAACATCGATAACCCTTGTACATGGTTAAATGAATTATTAAAAAGTACACAAAATGCATTTAAATCCCTATACGATGCATTTTTTTTATCTGATGCACCAATCAACATTGCCTACTGGATTAGATTTTAGGCCAATAAAACTTGCCTGTAGGATATATAATGGATTTATAGAAAAAATGATTCAAAATGATAATAAAAAGTTTATGCTAATATTTGGCAGTGTCAAACAAATTTTGATTAAGTAATTCGCCTTTTTTATTTTTGTTTGGTTTATTTTTTATTTTTTTTATTTTTATTTCATATGTTTTTTACTTTATTTATATTTATTTATTTTTTTATTTTTGTTCTTGTTTCTTAAACTTTTTTATTTTTTCTAATTTTATTTTATAATTTCTTTATTTCTTATTTTCTTTTTTTTAGTTTTTTTAATTTTTTTCTTTTTTATTTTCTTTATTTAAATTTTTATATTTTTCATTTCTTTTTTTTTGTTTTTTATTCTTTATTTTTTATTTTCTTCATTTTTATTTTTATTTTTTTTTTGTTTTTTTTTTTATTATTTCTTTATTTTTTCCTTTATTTTTTTACTTCATTTTTATTTTTAAATTTTTTCTGTTTTATCTTATTTATTTTTTTGTTTTTTCATTTTTTATATTTTTTCATTCCTTCTTTTTCCTTTATTTTTATTACATTTATTTATTTTATTTTCAAATTTTTTGTTTTATTTTTTTTCTTTATTTTATTATTGTTTTTCATTTTTATTTTTTTATATTTTTTGGTTTTTTTATTTCTTTATTCCTTTAAATTTTTTTTTGTTTTATTTTTTTTCTCTCTTATTTTTTTTTTTTGTCTTTTTTTTTTTTTTGTTTTGTTACTTTATTTATTTTTTAATTTTTTTATTTTTTTAATTTTTCTATTTTTACTTATTTTTTATTTTTAATTATTTTATTTTTATTTTTTTTTCTTTTTATTTATTTATTTTTAGTTTCTTTTTATTTATCATTTCTTTTTTTTTTTTTTTTTTTATTTTTTTTTTGAATTAGATCAAACTCGTACCTAATAGATGTATCCTTTGATAAAACAATGTTGTTACATATTACAAATTTTTTTTTGATAGTTAATTTTAAAGTTTTATATTTTTTGAATTAGATGAATGTTTGTCCAGATTTTTTTTCAACGAAAGCAAAAGTTTTAAAAGTTTTACAATTTTTTTTTTTGTAATTGACAACAGGTAAACGTCTTGACATGTCGAAAAGGACATCTGTGATGTCTGTGTGTGTCCTTTTAGTTAAAAAAAAAAAAAAATAGAAATCGGTGGGAATCTGTGTAAAAAGAAACCCTTCAACTCGTTTTGATGATTTTTGAGATATTTCTTGAAAGATAGAGAGAGACATCAGGGGTAAAAATCAGTGGTTTTGTCTATTTATATTTTATTCTATCTAATTTTTTCCAGAAGTTTATACTTTTTGTTATACATTAGATTAATATTAATTATTTTCATTTATTTTTTACAATATTAAAATGTTGTAATTTCCTAAAAGCAAGCGAGATGTCAAAGAATAAAATGTTTTATATAAATAATTAATTTAAAAGAACATTTCTAATAACACATAAATATTATTCTTTTATTTATTAACACATAATTATTATTCTTTATTTATTAACCACATAATTATTATTCTTTAACACATTTTTTTTTTATTTTGAGAATTTGCTTTATTTGACTTGAATACACACATTTGTATTTTTATGTAAAAATCAATGTATGTATTTAAGTCAAATAAAGCAAAATTTCAAATTAAAAAAAAATAGAAATAATTAATATTAATATTTTTTCCAACTTCAAATGTGATTTATAGCTATGTTATTATATTCAAAACTTGTCAAACTATTTATTATACAGCATAATTTTTATTATTAATATTTTTTAACAAAATTGCGTTTCTTATTATTTTTCAATTGGAAATTTGCACCTTGATTTGATCTTCACTGTTTTTAGATAAAAATCATACAATAAAAATGATGTTTTATTTTGATCTTCTTGAGAATCTTCAAGATTTTTTATCTAATTTGATTATTTTGATGATTTTCTAATTTGATTATTTTTACTACAATTTTATTAATTTTTTTTAAATAAACTCCTTAGCCCAATTCAGATTTCGATAACAAAATTCTTCCTAGTTTTGTTAGAAGAATAAAGTATCTATTATTAATTCTATAATTATAAACTCGTATGTCATTTTTTTGTGTTTTTATTGGAAACGGAAACTGTTACAAAAAAATCTTATAATTTAGTATAATAAGACTATATATGCAATTAAATTAGTAAGATGATATCCACGTGGAATGCAACGGAAAAATTATATTGTAATATTATTGAATTGGAAGAGTCTAATTGTTTTGTTTATTGAAAATTGATACAGATGTGTTATTTGTTATTATTTTTATTGCAAAAGATGCGTATTGAAGTGAATTTATTATGAAGAAATATCTAATTATAAGATTTTATTGTACCAGACTTATAGATTAATTGTAATGAATCGGTTGAAGTTAAAAAAAAACATAACAAAGAAAAAAAATTGTTCTAGGAAAAACTAGTTCTTGTTTAAACTTATAAAGTTTCATTATTTTTGATAAATAAATTTTAAAAATTGGAATTCACTTGCAATTTCTATATAAATGCTGATATATGTTAGATTCTGCATGAGAAAAATTGTAATATCTAGCGTTATTATTTTTGCAAAAAATGTCACGAAATAAAAAATTTAATGTGAATAATTTATTAATTTTGACATAATTAAACTATACCTTAATTGAAATATTATATAATTAATTTAACTTCGAATATAGTTTTTTTATAAATATTTATTTTTTATGCGTTGTTAAAAAAACACATACGGTCCTAAATTTTTACCCTCCATTCACCGACCCTTATTTCATGAGTCATTTTAGTGTTAGTTAACTTCCCGTAGGGTAAGTTATAGTAATCGCAAAAAAATCGAAAATGAAAATTTTTATATCTTTACGTTTCAGAGGTTTCTGAACATTTTGGCATACCTTAGAAAAATGGATGTATGTGTGTGTGTGCGTGCGGATACAAATTTTCGTCGGCGATTTCGGGAACACGGTTCAAGCGATTTGAATCATTCAAAAAACTTTGATTCGTATTGATAAGGCGTGCTGATTAGTTTTTGGCGGAGGCAGGTCTAGCCGTTCCGAAGATATGGGGCAAAAAATGCCAAAAACGGTAACTCAGTTTTTAAGAGCATTTAACATTTTTACTTATATTAACAAGATGAAGAACTGATCAAATTTTCATGAAGGCAGGTCTAGCGGTTTCGGAGATCTAACGAAAAAAGTAAAAAAAAATGCCATTTGGCGTTCAAAAATGATCATTAGACATATGCACATCAAATTATCAGATATTTTTATAGAGATTTTAACAATAAGTATAAATTTTGTTTACATTTCTATGGGTTCCGTACCAATGTTTATTCGTTAGACGGCGACGCGGCGCTTACGCGCTTTGACATTTGTCTCTATGCAGATAAAGCAGTACGATTGCTTTGAAAAAAAGTTTAGATCTTCCAACATATGTCAAAATAAAGAAAACATTTTTTTTCAAAAAAAAAGATTTAAAAAATTTTTTTTTTTTAATTTTTTTTTTAATTTTTTTTTTCCAAAAAAAAAGTAATTTTTTGTTAAATTTATAGTTTCTCAAAAATCTAATTTTTTCGAAGTAATTATTTTTCAAAAATGTTAATCGTTTTTAAAAAAAATATAATTTTTGGTACGGGAAGTTTCAGCAATTTGCCTTAAGGCCACGATGCCCTAATTGCCTTAAGACAGAATTCCACTTACAGTTAGTTTATATTTTATTCGAAGTATTGGCCAAAAAAATGTCATATCAAAATTATATCATATATATATATATATATATATTATATATATATAAATCTACCATAATCAATATAATTAATTAGTTAGTCACAAAACATGCAAAAAACCCAACATTAACCAAATAAAAACCAAAACACATGCATCACCAACAAAACTCTATTTCATACTATTTTTTGATCTACAACACAAATACTTTATATGAAGGTCACTAATAAAATCAACACACACATAAAAACACAAACGCTCACCTATCGATAGCCAAACCAATTTCAACAATATTTATTTTCACCCAACTAATATCCTCTATCCCACTTACCTCTGATCACAACTACAATGCATCAACGTGTTGATACCCCAATTGAAGTATCCGTATCTTTCGCTAAACCCCTGAATCCAGTGCTTGCAGCGCATGTCGTGCTGCCTGCAGCAGCGGTCCGCCTTCGAGAAGCCGCCGAGTTGCGTGTATTTCGTGACGCCGTAGCCTAGGCCGCACCACTCGGTGCCGGGCACGCGCAGCAGGGAGGAGAGGCCTCTCTTCGAACGACCGGGGGTAAAGGTTGATAGACTGCTTAGGGTTAGATGAGATAAAGGATGTATGAAATAAGATGTGTTGTAATAAAGAGATTGAGATTTGGTGATTGGTGTTGGTGAAAGTTTGTTGCGTCTTGAGGTAGAAAGGTTGCCATTGGTTTTTATAGATTTTTGTTGCAATTGTTGTAATTAACCCTTTTCGGATGACATAAATTTGGAGAACATCAGTGCCGATTGTGCCACATATGTGCCAAATCACAAATATAACAAGAAGTTGAAACTACCAAATTTTACATCGATATTTACAGCGGAGATTATTGCAATGCACACTGCAGTCAAGAACGCATGGGAAAAAAAAATACCAAAATATATTATCTTCAGTGAAAGGAAGGCGAGCATATTACCTCTCTTAAGCTAGCAAGACCAAATTAGCAAAATCGATCCGGACCTGTTGTATTATTTAGTACTTATTTTGCACTAATTTGCACCACAAAAAAAAAATTGTACCACGTACCGTTTAAAAAAAAACACGTGGCGCTGCTAGCTTTAATATTTAAGCTAGCAAGACCATTTTTTTGTTTAGAAGAAAATAATAAATAAAACGGAAATTGATTAATTCGAATTTGCACTAATTTGCACCACCAAAATTAAATCAACTAGCTGTAAGTGGAATTCTGTCTTAAGGCTATTAAGGCATCGTGCCTTAAGGCAAATTGCTGGAACTTCCCGTGCCAAAATTATTATTTTTTTAAAAACGATTAACATTTTTGAAAAAATTATACTTCGAAAAAATAAGATTTTTTAGAAATTTTAAATTGGACGAAAAATTACTTTTTTTTTGAAAAAAAATTTTTTTTTTAAAAAAATTTTTAAACAATTTTTTTTTTAAAAATTTTTTTTTGGAAAAAAATATTATCTTCATTTTGACATATTTTGGAAGATCTGAACTTTATTTCAAAGCAATCGTACTGCTTTAACTGCATAAAGACAAAATATAAAGCGCGTAAGCGCCGCGTCGCTGTCTAACGGAAAACATTGGTACGGAACCCATAGGAATGTAAACAAACTTATACTTATTGTTAAAATCTCAATAAAATATCTGATCATTTGATATGCATATGTCTAATGTCTAATGATTTTATGTTGACCGCCAAATGTTATTTTTTTTTTAGTTTTTTTACTAGATCTCCGAAACCCCTGGACCTATCTTCATGAAAATTTGATCAAATCTTCATCTTGTTAATACAAGTAAAATGTTTTTCGAACTATACAAATCGGACGCTCCGTTCTCTTAAAACTGAGTTACCGTTTTTTGGCCCTTTTTGCCCCATATCTTCGGAACGGCTAGACCTGCCTTTGACAAAAACTAATCAGCACGTCTCCTTATCAATACGAATCGAATGTTTTTTTAATTATTCAAATTGCTTCATCCGTGTTCCCAAAATCGTCGACGAAAATTTGTATCCGAACACACACATGCACGCACACACACACACACACACACACACATACATCATTTTCTCCAAGGTATGCCAACATATTCAGAACCTCTGAAACGTGAAGATATATAAAAATTTCATTTTCGATTTTTTTGCGATTACTTACCCTATGGAAAGTTAATTATAAATAAATCAATTTAATATCTCCAGAACATTAACAATCGTCATTTCATTTCGAATCAAATTCCAAAAAAAAAATAGTTGCCAAATTTACACAAAATTGAAAAAGTGCTCCCGCATAGTCACAGTCTAAACGCATTTGCAAATAATTCTGTGCGACATTTTCACTTATACTGTGCTCAGCTTGGCGGCATTTTTCACATTTTTCAATAATTTTCACAAAATTGGAAAAGTGCTCCAGTACACAAACAGTCTAAACGCAATTGGGTAACATTTGTACGAGAGTGGCGCTTTAGACTGTGCTTAGCTTGGGTGATTTTTTGAATTTTTAATCCAAAATTACAAAAAAAATTTTTTGAAAAAAAAATTAGAAACAAAAATTTTTTTTTTCCAAAATCAATTATTTTGTTGAAAAAACAGAAAGTTCTTTCAATCATCTAAATCGGACGCTTAGTCTCTCAAAAACAGCCATTTTTTTTAAATTTAGCTCTGTATCTCCGAAACCTCTGGGCCTACTTTTGCCAAAAACTAATCAGCACATCTCCCTATCAATAGGAATCGAATGTTTTTTAAACCATTCAAATCGGTTGATCCGTTCTCTCAAAAACTCGCTTTCTATTTTTTGCACTCTTTGCTCCATATCTCCATAACGGCTGGACCTGCCTTTGCCAAAAACTAATCAGCACATCTCCCTATCAATAGGAATCGAATGTTTTTTAAACCATTCAAATCGGTGATCCGTGCGCCCGAAAACGTGACGAAAAACGCGGACATACAAAACACACACACACACACACACACACACACACACACACACATCCATTTTTTCTGAGGTATGCCAAAATGTTCAGAAACCTTCAAAACGTCGAGAAATGTAAAAATTTTTGATTTCGATTTTTGGACGATTACTATAACTTACCCTACGGGAAGTTAAAAAATCAAAAATAGCTACCAAAATCAGTACCCCATGACTGCCGGACCGCCCTAATATGAGATGTTTTGTGAAGATAGGTATATAGTGCAGAAAAAAGCCTGTATTGAGGTCAAAAACAAAACAAATATTATAAAATCACTGATTTTTATAAAAATTACTACCACCGTTTTGTCACAAATCATCCCTAAAATAATGTTAAGGCATTTGGTACGGAAAAAATTCAATTGAACTAAAATTATCAAATTATATCAAGGCATTATAAGTTTTAAATTACTTAATTTCAGGTTTTGTACTTCTGCCCTTACGTCTCCAATCATCCCCAAATTGTATACTTACGTCTATATTGAATCATTTTCAACGTGCAAGTTTTGACTACGAAAAAATATAAATTGAACGAGCAGAATCAAATGAAACTAATATAGTAGAAACAATATGATATTTAGTATTTAAATTGAGAATTTCAAATTTTCTACCTCTGCCCTTCCCTCAATAATCAACTCCAAATGAATTTACTCACATGTTGGAGCGTTTCCAACGTACAAGTTCAAAGTATAGAAAAAAATAAATTGAACCAGCAGAATCAAATAAAACTGATACAAAACAATCACAATTCTATACAGTATTATATTTAATAATTTCAGATTTTGTAACCCCGCCCTCAAGTCTTCAATCAACCCCATATTATAATAACGCACTTATTATTGCGTCATTTTTAACTAAATAAATATTTACACATTCAGTTTCTTCAAAATAATTATTTATACCAAAATGTTTATTTTAACTATACTCTTCTAATAGAAATACTTGAAATATGGAGTCGATTGAAGACGTAAGTACAAAATCTGTTCTGTATTTAAAATTTGTGAAAGCTCAGGGAAAAAATTCGTTTTTGTTTGAGAATTTAGATTTTTTTTTAACAATTTTAAAAAAAAATGATTTATTTGAAAATGTAATTATTGAAAAAATGACCTTTTCTAAAAATACTGATTTTGTGAAAACGAAAATTTTCAGATTTTTTTTAAATTTTGAAATTTCTTGAAAGTTTTTTATACCCATTCATATCGGTTGATTTCAATTACAAAACTAGTTGCATTTTGATTTAATGGTGGGTTTTTTTATATGGGCCTGAAATAGACGACTTCATGTACCAAATTCATGAATATCGCCGAAAAAAAATTTCAACAGTTAATTACTAGAACTTATGCCATCGATTTTTTACCAAAAACTAATCAGGTCGACTCCCAAATAATCTTTCGAAAAGTTTTTGACATTTTTAAAGTCTAGTCAGAATATTTGACTAAAGCGTGATCGAACTTTTTTTTCATTTTTCCCTTAATTACTAAGAAACGGCTTGACCGATAGACAAACAAAACTGAGAAACAATGGTCCTTATCGAGTTAGATCGAATGGCCTTTAAATTTTTAAAACGGTTCAGCCGTTTTTGACAAAATGACAACGGAAGGTCAAAAATGTTTTGAGAAAAAAAAACACACACACACACAGTTTTTCAAAATTCGGCCTCATTTGATTCAGAATGGCTTGAAACGTCGAGAAAACATAAAATTAGCGAATCTGATTTTTTTATGAAAACAAACTTTCTCCTTCGGAAAGTTAATAATATAGCGCGCCGAAAAATAATTGTGATTATTTTATACAAGTTCGGAAACCTTTAATTCTCAAATATACAAAATCTTCTCTGCTCTCATTTTTTTTCAAAACAGAATAAATAACTACATAATAAAAAATCATCCGGTAAACTTCCCAACTATTTCTCTATTTGGTATCGGAGTCATAATAGTGTTAACTTAAATGGGCATTGAGAATTCTTGTCTTTTAAGGCGGCAATAAATATTACGGCGGCAATAAAAACGTTAACGTTAACGTTCACGTTTGTGTTTTAGAAATCCAATTTATTTGGAGATAATAGTACAAAGATTCGTAAAAAATCGGGCGCCTACATGATGGATGGGAATAGACTCAGATCGAGGAATATTTCTGATTGACAATGAATTTGATATTTCCTTATATTAAATTATGATGTAATTTACATTCAATTTGCGCAAAGGCTGATCTAGCGGTTCTGGAGATCAAATGCAAAAGTTCAAAAAAAATGCCATTTGGCGGTCAAAAATTATTATTAGACATATGCATATGCATATCAAATTATTTAAGATATTTTATAGAAATTTTAATAATTAGGAGTACAAATTTAGAAAATGTACTGTGTACAGTTTGCCATGAAAAATAAACCATAAATAAAAAAAAATGTTCACATTTTTATTGGTCTTACGCGCTTCAATATTTCGTCTATAAAACAGCTACGCACTTTTGCTTTGAAAAAAAAATTAAAAACTTAAAATATAGAAAAATCGTATTTTTCAAAAAAGTCAATTACGTCCAAAAATTTAAAAATTCTGGAAAATCTAATTTTTTTTTTTTGTTCAAAAAATTTTATAGTATTTAAAAATTTTAATTATCGGTACGAAAAGTTTCAGCAATTTGCCTTGAGGCACGATGCCATACACCACTAGTTGTTTCTTATTTTCAATTAAAATAAATCTGCTCACTTTTGATTTTTGAAAAATGAAGAGTCAAAGTTTATGATTGGAATCAATTATTTCTTTGTTATTTATATTGCAGCAATATATTTTAATTATATCCTATTTATTAAGATAAGATTCTGAGTACTTTGAAGCCATTCAAGTTGGTTTTCTTTGTTTTTTATTTACTGAAGACTGAAATCTTTATGATGATACCCCAGACTGTATCTTTCCTGCTTCAAATTATTTCTTACAAAATTAACACAGTGATGAATCATATAATTCCTCTACAAAACCATACGAATTGATATCATACAAAGGGCTCGATGTGGATCAGAGACATGGACTATAAGTATGGTTCTCAAAATCATTCAAAATCATCAAAAATATTTGATGCCTTGTCATTAAATCTTTGGCATTAAATGATTTGTCAAATGCAGAAGAATCCTCAACAATTGAGCCAACGTCGTCATCATTGATCTTGGAGGTTCACAAAAATGTTTGAAGCCAACCTGGTACGAATACTACAAACTACTTCTGGTAATCCGTACTGGTGAGGCAAACATTCTCATAAAATTATGATATCAAACATGCGACTATTGCAAATAGAAAACAAGAGCAAGCTAGTCTTACTTGTCCTAAAACCAAAAAATTTATTACCCCTTTTTTATTTAACAAGAAATTTCATAAAGGGTTATAGACAAGAGCAAACTACTAGACTCCCTGGTTTCTGGTGACAATCCAAAATTTGGTAAACAAGAAACAAAAGATCTCTGACTTTTGTCTAATTTTAGAGGCAATTTTATAAAGGTCCTTTTTGTCTCCAATTTGCAAATAATCACAAATAGAAAAAAGGGGCAAGCTAGTCTTACTTGTTTTGGTTTCTAGTGACAGTCAAATCTAATCATCTATAACCAAAATATTTCTTGCACTTTTAAAGTTTAACGAGTAGCTTTAAAAAGCACCATTTTTCAAATTTGCAAAAAATTGTAAATAGAAGGCAGGACCAAACTAGTTTTATTTGAGACCTGATTTTTGGTGACAGTCAGAAATCTGCCCAACTAAAAACAAAACATCTCTTACACTTTTTAGTTTAACGAGTAATTTCATAAAAGATCTTTCTTTGTCTCCAATTTGCAAAAAAAATCGAGATTTCTAGTAGCCAACAAAAAACAAAAGATCTCTGGCACGTTTGTAGTTTAACAATAAATTTCATAAAGGGTTCTCTTGTGCCTCCAATTTGTATAGGATTGCAAATAAAATACAGGAACAATATAGTCTTACTTGTACTGGATTCTAGTAATAGCCAGAAATCTGGCCAACTAGAAACAAAACATCTGACACCTTCAGTATGAAAGTAGTCAGAATTTTCATAAAGGGTTTTTCTTTGTCTTAAATTTGCAAAGATTTTCAAATGTAGAGCAGGAGTAAATTCGTCTTACTTATCCTGGTTTCTGGTGATAAACAAAAATCTGGTCAACTAGAAACAAAAAATCTCCGAAACTTTTAGTTTAACAAGAAATTCCATGAAATGTTTTCCTTTGTCTCCTATTTGCAAAAAAATGCTATTAGAAGATAGAAGTTAGTCTTACTTATCCTGGTTTTTGGTGATAGTAAAAAATCTGGTCAACAAAAGACTATGGTGAACGATTCTTATTCAATTTATAGGCCAATTGCATAAAAGTCAGTTTCACAACAAAAATCGCAATTGCCATCAATTAAAAGTTTGAAGGATATAAAAATTTAAGTAAAAACAAACAGTAAGATCACAAAGTTGTTTTGTTCATAGAAAGCAAGAACAAGTTAGATTGGAACAAGTTGTCTTAGATTTTCATGACAGCCTAAAATCTGGTCACTTTCTTAAAAACAAAAACTCCAAAGCAATTAGCCTTTTTTTTCTCAAATTTATCTCCAATTACCACTTATAAAAAAAAAACATCCACACCAATTATCAAAAGCTGAAGATTTGTTAGAATATAAAAATCACCCCAGAGCATGCCTTTTGTTTGGTCAAGTCTTGCCAAATAAAGTTCACCAACATCCTGTCTAATGGATGTGAAGAAAACCAGACAGATCATCAAATTGATGACAAAGTTAGTGACAATACAAAAGTAGAAATACAACCCAAACACAGACCAGTAGAAAATACTGTTGTTAATCACTAGCTCAAATCTTAGGCAAAATTAAATAAAACCACACAAAAACACAAAACAAATTTAGCCATCGTCGCCTACCTTCTATCGCACCCACAATGCGAAACAGTGAAAGGGCTGAAGTTAAAATAGTCGTACTTCGACTCCACAGCCCTTATGATATTAGTGCAGGAGTCGTGCATTCTACAACAACTGTCGACAGATGTAAAACCTCCCAATTCTGTGTAACGATTTGCCCTGTTGCCCATTCCGCACCATTTTGTGCCAGGGGCGATGAAAAAATCGGTGAGACCTCGTCGAAACCTAATCAGAAGGAAATTATTCAAGGGTAGTAATAGACATATAGTGCAGTAAACTGAGCGTTTTGGGTTTGATTTTTTTTTACTGTGCTCTAATTTGCATGAAATTTTGAAATTAAGTTCATTTTACTCTCAAGAAAATAATTGAGACTCCTTTGCCACTTCCCGGGGGGACGACAGGCCCTCGCAGTGTGTGTAATTACATTTTTTCCAAAATAATGTCGGAAATCGGTAGAAGAACTAATTTTGAGAAAAAAATGTCATAACAATGTCAATTAGTTTTTATAACAAACTTATTTAAGTATAAAATTTCGGAATTCAAATATTTTAGAATGAATTAGTATATTTAAAATAAAATTAATAACTTTACTCTTGCATTTTGAGTGTGTAAGACTTTAGGCGTACTTTTTTCTTGAAATTATAAATATCTCGAAATTTTGTGAGAAAATTTATCGATTTTAGTATTTGTCATTTTAGTACACATATTGAAGTATAACATAATGAAATTTCTAGGTTCTAAAAAGGATTAATATATTTTAAATAAAATCCAGAACTTTGCTCTTTCAATTTTACATGTGCTAGACTTTGCTTGAACGTTTCGCACTTTAAGTGTACTTTTCTCTCAGAATTATTAATATCTCGAAATTTTGTGAGAAAATTTATCGATTTTCGTATTTGTCATTTTAGTATACATATTTAAGTATTACATAATGGAATTTCTAGGTCCTAAAATGTTCAATATATTTTAAATAAAATCCAGAACTTTGCTCTTTCAATATTACATGTGCTAGACTTTGCTTGAACGTTTCGCATTTTAAGTGTACTTTTCTCTAAGAATTATTAATTTCTCGAAATTTTGTGAGAAAATTTATCGATTTTAGTATTTGTCATTTTAGTATACATATTTAAGTATAACATAATGAAATTTCTAGGTTCTAAAAAGGATTAATATATTTCAAATAAAATCCAGAACTTTGCTCTTTCAATTTTACATGTGCTAGACTTTGCTTGAACGTTTCGCACTTTAAGTGTACTTGTCTCTAAGAATTATTAATTTCTCGAAATTTTCTTCGAAAATATATGAATTTTAATATTTGTCATCATAGTACACATATTGAAGTATAACATAATGAAATTTCTAGGTTCTAAAAAAGGTTAATATATTTTAAATAAAATCCTGAACTTTGCTCTTTCAATTTTACATGTGCTAGACTTCGCTTGAACGTTTCGCACTTTAGGTGTACTTTTCTCTAAGAATTACTAATATCTCAAAATTTTCTTAGAAAACATATGAATTTTAGTACTTGTCATTTTAGTACACATATTGAAGTATAACATAATGAAATTTCTAGGTTCTAAAAAGAATTATTATATCTTAAATAAAATCCAGAACTTTGATCTTTCAATTTTACATGTGCTAGACTTTGCTTGAACGTTTCGCACTTTAAGTGTACTTTTCTCTTAAAATTATTAATATCTCAAAATATTTTTAGAAAACGTATCGATTTTAGTATTTGTTATCATAGTAGATACACTAAAGAGTAACATATTGAAATTTTAATATACTAGAAGAAATTGCTATATTTTAAATAAATTTTGAAACTTTACTCCACCAATTTTGTATGTGTAAGACTTTAGGCGTAAACATTAGAATTTTAAATGTCTCGAAATTTTGTGAGAAAATATATCGATTTTAGTATTTGTTATCATAGTAGATTTACTAAAGTGTAACATATTAAAATTTCAATATTCTGTATTTCAATATACTATATTTTAAATACATTTTGAAACTTAACTCATTCAATTTTGTATGTGTAAGACTTTAGGCGTACTTTTTTCTTGAAATTATAAATATCTCGAAATTTTGAGAGCAAATTTATCGATTTTAGTATTTGTAATTTTAGTACACATATTGAAGTATAACATAATGCAATTTATATGTTCTAAAATGAGTTAATATATTTTAAATAAAATCTAGACTTTCCATTTTACATGTACTATACTTTGCTTGAACGTTTCTCACCTTAGGTGTACTTTGCTCTTAGAATTATTAATATCTCGGATTTTTTTTAGAAAATATATCAATTTTAGTATTTGTCACCATAGTACATATATTGAAGTATAACATAATGAAATTTCTTGGTTCTAAAATAGGTTAATATATTTTTAAAAAATCTAGAATTTTGCTCTTTCAATTTTACATGTGTTAGACCAGAGGTAGAGAACCTTTTTGCCATTAGAGGCATCCTCATATAGCTTCTGTCTACTAAAAATTTATATATTTTTGGCGTTTTTCTTCGTTTTTATGCTATATATATATCTCTAAAAATATACATCTTAACAAAAATCATGTAATGAACAAAATAATGTCAATACAAATCCTAATGAATCGGTGTTTCATAAAGTGTTCTAGGAATAATATTAAGCAAGATTTGAAACAGCAAAGTAGTTTTTTATTTCGTTCAAGATTTAATTATTGTATTTAAATTCTTTTCAATTTAGAGGTTGTTTGGAAGGTTTTAGGGTTTTCACGTTGTTAAAAATGATTTTATTGAAAGGTAATCGTTTTAAAAATCATTTTCAATTATATCTTTTGATATTAAAAACGTTTTCTAGCGATAAAGCTCAATGTCTAATTATGTATTAAGGGGTCGGAAGCCCCCCCACCCCCGGGTGGTGGATGCAAAACCACAATTGATTCCACTTATGAACTTGAGGTTAAGACGAACCTAATTCCAAAATTTCAGTAAAAAAAATCAGAGGTTATATCCTTCCCTCTCCGTTTACTGCACTAAACAAACTTTCACCAACAGTAATAGTCTAGTATTTACCTCGGGTGCAATTCCTTTCTGTCGTTCAACCTTCTGACTTTTTCAGCGTGTCTTTCACGTCTCTTGAAATCCCTTCTCAATTCCCTGTGCTTCCTCTCACACTGCCTTTTCATTTTGGCGTAATTCAACCAACCCCTCATGTCGCCAGGAACTTCTTGCATCGACTTGATAATTACAAAAGTTGCATTGTGCACACCAACCCGTCTTTGGTTCCAATTAAAATCTAAATCTTCAGGTGCCAAAACACCATTTTCTATAAAACTTTCTATTCTGCTCCTCTCGTCCTGACGAGCTTTACTTAATTCACCATCAGGAGAATCATCAGGAGAACCCTCAACAGATTCGCCAGAAGTTTTTTGTCCCTGATGATGGTTTCTGGTGTGGTTGTAAGTCTTCTGGTGTGATACTGAGTAGGTTCTTCTGATATCTCTGTTGAAGGATTCCAAAAATGCATCGATGGTTTTTCTTCGTCTACTGTAATCGCAGTCCATAAGACCTTGACCACGATGATGGATCATTTGGATGAAGTTTTTACCGTCTGTTATTTGGCGCAGGCTGATGCCCCTGGAAAATGAAAAAAATATAAGCTTCAATTTGTCTTGAGTACAAAATGTATATGACAAATTGTATATTTTTAGAAAACAAGAAACAAAAAAATATTATCACATGTGGAGTTCCTCAAGGAACAGTTCGAGGGCCATTATTAGATTCCTATAATTTTAATTTATAGGATTATTATAATTTATAAAATATATTTTTAAATATTTGTAGAGTTTTGGATTTTAACAAAGTCTTATTATTATGAATACCAATAATTTTTATCTTGAATTATTTTTATTGCAATTTTATTAGACATTTTACATCAATGCTACAAATTACAATAATTGGTAATACTTATAAAGAAAATAGAAAATGTATAATTCAATTTGTCTTGAGTACAAAATTTGTTGGATAAATTATATATTTTTACATTGCAACGCGAATTAGATTAAAATCAATTTAACTGTGTCAAAAAATAGAAAAATATTATCAATTATGGAGTTCCTCAAGGAACGGTTCGAGGGACGTGATTAGATTTATTCTATATAAATAATTTATAAAATTATAGAATATTTTTATATTTTGTATATTATTTAAAAGACAACACGAGTATGATTAAAATCAATTCAACTGTGTCAAGATATAGAATAATGTTATCGATTGTGGAGTTCCTCAAGAAACTGTTCGAGGTCCATTATTAGATTTATTATCTATCTAAAATTATTTATAAAATTTATTTTTAAATATTTTAGAATTTTGGATTTTAACCAAGTCTGATGTTAAATTTACTAACGATTTTTATCTTGAATTATTTTGAATGCAATTTTATTAGAAATACATCAATTTGTGGTTGCTAATTTGTATTCAATGTTTAACAATTTCTAAAAATGGAAAAAAAAAATTTACTTTAATTTGTCTTGAGTACAAAATTTGTAAGACAAATTGTATATTTTTACAATACAACAAGAATTAGATTAAAATCAATTCAATTGTGGCGAAAAACTGAAAAATGTATTATCAATTCTGGAGTTCCTCAAGAAACAGTTCAAGGGTCATTATTATATTTATTTTATACTAGATGTACCCGTTCACGATTCGCCGTGTTTTACTTAAAAAAGTGGACAAAAATGTATATTTGTTACATCTAGTCCACCAGTTTCCTTTCTTTCCAGTCTACCTGTCTATATGACTATCTATTTAAGTCTCTACTTGTCTACCAGTTTACCTGTTAGCCTATTTATCGGTCTACCAATTTAGATTTCTATCTATCAATTAATTTGTCTACCAATTTATCTACTGCCTACTTATTTATCTGTCTACCAATTTTTTTTGTCTCTTTACTCATTCATCTGTCCAGCAAATTATCAATAGACTCATTAATCTATCTACTAATTTATTTGTCCAGCAATTATATATCTACCAATTAAGCTTCTTATATCTTTCTGTCTACCAACTTTTCTGCCTCTCTATCAATTTATCTGCCTGTCTACCAATTTTTTAGTCTGTCTAGTCATTTATCTGTCTGGAAATTTTTCTGTTTCTGTCTGGCATTTTTTTTGCAATTTTTCTGTTTCTGTCTGGAATTTTTTTGTTTTGCAATTTTTCTGTTTCTGTCTGGTAAGTTTTCTATTTGTCTGGTAATTTTTCTGTTTCTGCCTGGCATTTTTTTGCTTCTGCCTGGCATTTTTTTGCTTCTGCCTGGCATTTTTTTGATTCTGCCTGGCAATTTTTCTGTCTAGCAGTTTATCTGTCTGGCAATTCATCTGTTAACTCATTTATTTGCCAACTTAGTTATCTGTCTAGCAGTTTATCTGTCTACCAATTTAGGTACCTACTTTTTTATCTGCCTAGCAATTTATCTGTATTTTTTATATATCTAGCAATTTAACTGTCAAGAAATTTTACTGTCTAGCAATTTTTTGTCTAGCAATTTTTCTGCCTAGCATTTTTTCTGTCTAAAAATTTAACTGCCTAGAAATTTATCTGTCCACCAAATGTATCAGAGTTTGTCTAGGAATTTTACTGTCGAGGAATTTTACTGTCTAGGAATTTTAATGTCTAGGAATTTCCTCGTCTTGAAATTTCCTCGTCTTGCAATTTTTCTGTCTAAAAAACTTTCTCGACTTGCAATTTTTCTGTCTAAAAAACTTTCTCGACTTGCAATTTTTTTGTCTACATATTCGTTTATTTACCAGTTTACATATCCCCAATTTTTTTGTCTACCAATTAACATGTCGTTCAATTTACCTGTCTACCTGTTTAACTATTTGTTTATCTGATTACCTGTCTACCAGTCTGTTATTCTACCAATTACCAAATAAATAAAAAAGATATATTTACTATAATAATTCTTACAAAATATGGGGTTATGGTAGGGGGTTGGAAATTTAGGGTTATGTATTTTTTTTATATATGCATTATAAAAAAATTGGAAAATAAAAATTGACCTAAAAAATAAAATTGAAAATATTAAGAGAAGTCTTTGGGGCGGCTAACCCCTTCCACTTAGCTTTCAATCAAATGCAATTTTATTAGAAATTTTATATCAATGATAAAAAATAAAATATTTTTTTGGTGATTTGTATTCAATGATTACAAATTTCTAAAAATGCATAAAAAGTGAGATTTTAATAACAAAATTCTTGAACTTCCAATAACTATTTAACAGTACTTAATTATTGAGACTGACAAATTTCTTTGTAAATTTTTGGATAAAAAACAAAAAAATATGAATGTAATGTAACCACATACCATCAGCTTTTATTTGCAATTGTTGATTTACAAACTATCTTACACATTCTAAATTTTCACAAAAAATACCTTAAATCTTCTTTCAAATATTTACCTATAACACAATTCTTTTACAAAAGTGATTTATCGATTAAAAAATAAATAAATCACAACTTTCTACAAACCATTGTCGAAATGGGCTACTAATCTAGTGATAGATGTTTACAATATCATAATACGAATTGAAATTGTATGGGAAATATATTTATAAATTTTGTATTTAGTATTTTTGATCAATACAGAAAATATTTGATTTATTAGAAATCTTTTGATGCGTGGGATGTGTACAAGTTTGTAGGAATTTAATACATTTTTTTGAATAGTTATGTAACTTGTGCCTGGTTTTATATTGTAAATCAAAAAAAAATTTTTTGCTAGTTGTGATAAAAACTCAAATGATACTGTAGTCTTTCGAATGGAACGAAAATTTTTTAGGTTTTAATTTTTATTTAGGAGTTTATTCCGGTCATACATCCTAACATGACTTTACACATACAAATATATTATATAAGTATATGTATGTATGTATGCATGTATGTATTACTTGTGATGTAATTTAAATTCCTCAACAATATTTTATCTATTGAACATAATCAATAATAATCGTGTATTTGATAAATCATTATTTTAATTCAGTCTATAAATCTTGGAATAAAAACTTGTACCTTTCCTCCTACGTTTATTTCTCTACATGGATAATAAATCAAACTAAATATATTTTTGTAACATGAAAGAAAATTTCAACAAACTTGGGTAATAGAATTGATAAAAGTTAAGAGAAATAATTACTGAAATTACTAAAAATTCAAAAAATTATTATATCAGCTCGATTAAAAAAATATTAAACACTGCATAATGCTAATTTATTTAGGATAATTATTTTCTACTAAATGTACTTGTGTATCTACATTTTTTTAAAAACGTACATCACTGTAACTTGATGTCACAGACAAAAAACATGTATTATCATACACACGTAAAAATATATTAATGTTTGTTCATTTTGATAATTACAAAAAAAAAACATTCTAGTTATTTGTTTTCTTCTTCGGCTCAAGGAATTAATAATTACCTTTCAGATAGAACAAGCAAAACAAGTTTTAGGTTTTCGATACATTTTATTACAGATAATTTTTTTATATTTATGCTTCAAGATAAATAATTGATTTATGACTAAGATGCATCCATTCATTTGAATCAATCAAACAAAGTCGTGATTAAAATTGTATCATAAATATATACACACAGAAATGTATATATAAAGTACGTGTCACGATGTCCGCGATGTACTCCTAAACTACTGAACCGATTTTAAATTTTTTTGGCTCACAATATGCATTTATATCCAACTTAGGTTATAGGCTATATTAAAAATCTCAGTTTATATTCAAAATATGAAAATTTTACAAATTTCTAAAAATTTTGACAGTAATAGATCACTGTGAAATGACAATTGTCAGTTTCTCGGTTTTGCATATTAATATTTTAGTATCACGATGTTTGTCCGCGATGTACTCCTAAACTACTGAATCGATTTTAAATTTTTTTGGTTAACAATATGCATGAATATTCAACTTAGGTTATAGGCTATATCAAAAAATCTCAGTTGATATTATAAATATTGAAATTTCACAAATTTATATTAATTTTGACAGTAAGAAAACACTGTGAAATAACGTCTGGAAATGTCGGATATTTTAGTAAGCATCACGATGTTTGTCCTGTATGTACTCCTAAACTACTAAACCGATTTTAAATTTTATTAGCTCGTCATATACATGTATATCCAACTTAGGTTATAGGCTATATCAAAAAATTCAGTTTAAATTCGTAATATTAAAATTTTACTAATATTCATAAATTTTGACAGTAAGAAAACTGTGAAATAACGTCTGGAAATTTCGGATATTTTAGTAAGCATCACGATGTTTGTCCGGGATGTATTCCTAAACTACTGAACCGATTCTAAATTTTATTAGTTCATCATATACATGTATATATAACTTAGGTTATAGGCTTTATCAAAAAATTCAGTTTATATTAGAAATATGAAAATTTTACAAATTTCTAAAAATTTTGACAGAAATAAAACTGTAAAATGACGTTTCTGGAAAGTTCGTGTATTAATATTGTAGTATCACGATATTTGTCCTGTATGTACTCCTAAACTACTGAACCGATTTTAAATTTTATTAGCTCATCATATACATGTATATTCAACTTAGGTTATAGCCTATAACTTATAGGCTATATCAAAATTCTGAGTTTATATTAGAAATATTAAATTTTTACAAACTTCAATTAATTTCGACAGGAAGAAAACACTGTGAAATGTCAGTTTCTGGAAATTTCGTATATTATTATTTTAGTA